TCAGTCATTGCTTTATACTTTCTATGGTTGTACCAATAGATACCAAATATATTATTTTAATTCATTCAAGAAACATATTAGACACTGCATTATTGGCTAAGGACATGAGCATAATCTTATTCCTCTGGAGACTAAAATGAGCTATATCACAGCATTTTCTGTAAGGTAACAATCTATAAGTAGAAAATGGCATACTAGAAACAAGGATAGGATGCTTTAAATTTTGCTTTTATGTATAAGGCTAATATCAAGCTAATAATGCCTTTTGAATAATTGGATAAAACCTATTGCTATCCTGATAAGAAATTCTTAAGATTTGCTTTATGCTGGGGCCAGAGTGATATTATATCAGGTACTGCACATGCCTTGAAAATAACTGACCTATGCTTAATCCCCAGCACCACATATGTCCCCTGAGCTATCAGGAATAATTCCCAGAGCACAGAGCCAGGACTAAGCCCTGAGCACAACTGGTTTTGGCCCAACTCCACTTTTACGTTAAATTTCAAAAGAGATGATAAATAAAATATTTTAAATTTGTATCTTAAGTTAGTAGTATGTATATGTGTGTATGTACACAATGAGAAACTTGAGTTTATATGTTTTATACTCACAGATAAGAGTATCATTCAGAATAGGACAAATGAGATAGAGAAGTATTTGCACTCTGAAGGATGAGAGCTAATGGATGGTGGAGAAATCAAGGGGTCACTTTTGACTCTGCATTCAGGAATCATTCCTAGATGTACTTGGGGGAGAATTGGACCCAGGTCAACCACATGCAAGGCCTGTGCCTTCCCTGATTTACTATCACTCTGGCCCCAAGAGTGGGACAATCTTAGGTTAGAATATACATATTCTGTCATATGAGTAAATTTCTTTAAATCCTCTTAATGTGTTTTATCTATAAAATTTATATAATAGTAGGTCTTATCTCAAAGAGTTATTACAAGGATTAGAGATCTCAGGTGCCTGACTTAACAATATAACAATAATCACTGTGCACTAATTTTTTTCTATATAATTTTTGTTTCTATAGATTGGGTTAATTCCACAAGTCTAGCTCACTATATTTGCAAGCTTTGAAAACAATTTCTTTGTTATCATTAAATTGAAAAACCTTAGGGGCTGGAGGGATAGTACAGTGGGTAGGGCCTTGAACGTGGCTGACCCAGGTTCGATTCCCAGCATTCCTTATGGTCCCCCAAGCACCTCCAGGAGTAATTCCTGAGTGCAAAGCTAGGAGTAACCCTTGTGCATTTCCGGGTGTGACCTAAAAAGCCAAAAAAAAAAAAATGGAAAAACCTTAAAATATATTATGTGGCTGTTTTATTTTGTGGCAAATTTGGTTATGCCATATGTATAGAATTTATCACATAAGTAAATATAGTCTAGATTGAATATAAATGTTGAGATGATTATACCAGTCAGTTTCTGGTGTTTGGGTGCCTCTCTGTCTCTGTCTCTGTGTCTCTGTATCTCTCTCTCTCTCTCTCTCTCTCTCACACACACACACACACACACACACACACACTATTTTGCATTATTTTTGTTTGTTTTACATACCAGACAGTGCTGGAGGCCACTACTTTTGGATTGTTCTGGGGGTCACTCCTGGGAGTACTGGCAGACCATGCAGTGCCAGGATCAAATGTTGGCTTCCTATGTGCATCTCTTTAAGTCATCTCCCTAGTCCCAGGAAGTTTGGCATTTGATTGATTTAGCAAATATTCATTGAGTTTGACTGTCTGGTGCTGGAAGAAGTTTAATGCTGGTAATGTTAAGATAAGGACATCATTTTCTTACTGAAGTTTGTAATCTCCCAGAAAGTCAGAAATATTAAACAAGTTCAGTGAAGTCACAGTTGGATGATTTACCGGGCCATTGGGCGTAATTGAACTTTAAGAATTGAGTTTGAGAAGAAACTGAGGACCAGATTTTGAACTGCTTCCAACTTCCTATACCATGTGACCATGACTTTGTTTTAATTAAAGTGCTCTTTGTTGATGGGGGAGAGGAGGGATTAGTCCTGGCAGAGTTTAAGGGATTGTATGTGGTGCCTGAGGGCAAACCACTGTTGGCTGTATGCAAGGCAAGTACCTTAATCTCTATAGTATCTCTTTCTCTTCTCAAAATGCTTTTTTAATTTTAACTTTGTTTTGTTGTGGGGTCATCACCAATGGTGCTGGTGCTCAGGAATTACTCCTGGCTCTGCACTTAAGAATTGCTCCTGGCAGGCTCAGGGAACCATAAGGAATGCCAGGGATTGAACTCAGGTCGGTCATGTGCAAGGCAAGGGCCCTATCTGCTGTACTTTCTTCTCAGGCCCTCAAAGTGCTTTTTAATTAATTATTCTTGCAAGAAGTATGAAGTGACTTGAGAAGAAGTGAGCTTAGAAACAAACTATGAGTTGTGCAAAAGTCCCAAAGGGGAAATGTGAGAAAACAAGATTCTGATTTCAAATACCTCAAAGTGTAAAGCTCAGACCATCTGGGGAAATTTATAAGTAAAGCAGACTCCTGTGCTATTGTATCAGTGATCTGATTCAGAGTTTGTGATATTTAAGAATTAATTTAAAGGGGGGTATGGTGCCACCAGTAGGTCAGTCTGTACCTGTGAGGTGAGTGTATCAGTAGCCTGATGGCAACGTCAGACTTTCAGATACCCCAAAATTGCTGCTGTACTTTTGGCCAGACCCCAAAAACTTGGGGCAAAGTTTACCAAGAAAGTAAATGGCCAAAAGTTAGGTATGTGGGAGACACACCCACAAACCACCTCCGGCTCAGCTATATAATTGGAGGTATGGCCTTTCTGGTTCCTGATTCAACTGCTTAACGGCCATGATCCCAGAGACTCAGAAATGAATCTCGGAACCCAAAGACTTTTGGCAGAAATGCATCCTGTTCCTCCAGTAGGTTACTGGCGCTGTGCCACTCCAGGTGGGAATAGGTTTCATGCTTTGGCCTGTTTCCCCTGGCGGCCTGGTGACCACCATCCTCCAGAGGCCACTGGACAGTCAGGTTTGGGCCTGCAGTGACGAGATACACAGGGTCTCGCCACATGGGGGTGGAGCCGACTCTTTCTCCCCATCCCAATGAGACCCTAAGTCGCCACCTACAAACAGCCTCTCTGGCTCCTGATCAAGCTGATTAATAGCCATGATACTAGATATAGTGGAGACTCAGAAACAAATCTTGAAACCCAGCAGCTTTTGGCAGAAATGCATCTGGACTACATACAAGGTGGCCGCCGGCTCAGAGCTTATTGGAAAGCCAGGTATGAGCCGGTGGTGACAGGGCAACTGCAGTCTCATGGAAAGGGGGGCGGTACCAGCTCGTCCTTCATGCCCTACCGAGGTCATGAGTTGCCCCCCACAAGCAGCTCTCTGGCATGGCCATGGCTCCAGAGGCAAAAGGACTTAGTCCAGAGCCCAGCAGCTTGAAGAAGAAAAGTGATTGGATCATGCATTACACTACGGTGCCATGCCTTCCCAGGAGGGAAAGGGTGTTGCTCCCTTCCGCCTTTTTCCCCTCTGGCAGCAAGGTTGCTGCCGCAGCCTCAGAGCTTATAGGAAAGCCAGGTACAAGCCGGCGGTGATGGGGCAACTGCAGTCTAGTGGGAATGGGGGCGATACCGGCACGTGCTTCACGCTCTACCGAGGTCATGAGTTACCCCCCACGAGCGGCTCTCCGGCTTGGCCCTAACACCAGACACACAGAAACCAATCTCGTAATTATCTGGCTCTTTGCAGAAATCCAAAATTGTGGCCGCGTGACATTATATGATTCTCATAACCAGCTATAGAAAACAAAATATTTCACAATGCCTTTTCAACAATTCTGATTGTTTGGGGGGAAATTCTAAACAATAATGGTGCATCTTTTGTTGAAATAATGAATGTAATCAATGTAGAGAAGAGTTAAGTAGAAATCATTTGCTTCACAGGCATTTGGAGGGGTGGGAGGGGGGATATACTGGGGTTCTTGGTGGTGAAAAATGAGTACTGGTGAAGGGAAAGGTGTTTGATCATTGTATGACCAAGATTTAAACCTGAAAGCTTAGTAACTTTTCCCACAGTGATTCAATAAATAAATATAAAAAGAAAATAAATAAATAAAATTTAAAAAAATTAAGGTGGAGTTCATGCCCAATTCAATAAGCTAATCAGTGGCTGAATAAATAGCAGTACTCCTACGAAAATAAATAAATAAATAAATAAATAAGAATTAATTTAAAACAAAAATGTTTATTTGTGTAATTGTTAGGGCTTAGTGACTGATTGCATTTTGGTATTGGATAATGAGATGAAGCAGTTAGAGGATGACTCCCAGACCTCTATTATTGTGAAGTTTCAGAAATGATGCATTCTAGGTGATGTTAAAGGAATATATATATATATACATATATATATACATATATATACATATATATATAGAGAGAAGGCTGAGTAGGTTAAAGATTGGTGAGATCAGGTCTTCGGGGTAGAGTAATTACCCACTTGGGAAGTTACTTAGAAGTTGATGTCGAAAGGATGAATGTGACCCCATTTTTCATCTTTAATAAATGAAATGATAGCAGGTGGGTTCAGTAAAGACAGTGGGGGCAGGGAGTAGGCTAACCAGTGCTTCCCAAAACTTAATGTGCTTTTTAATTGCTTGAGGATTCTTGTTAATATGTACTGAGACTAGACTAAGACCCAAGATTGCACACATTTAATGAACAAGTCAATTCTGAGTTACTGGTCCAAGTATCATACTTCACATAGCAAGGATACTGATATCTGGTGTCCAAACTTATTCATCAGGTTTTCCTGGATATTTGAGTCTTTTTGTTTTTTAAGGCTGATGGATTTTGTTTTTAAGTCATGATGGGATAAAACTAGATTGACTTAGGCAACAAGAGCTGTCTACCTCCGAGAACTGGTAATTAATAACACAAGTAATAATTACCGGATACTGGTGTGTGATGTATATAAAGTAACCTTATTGTGTTTTTTCCAGATATTATAATAAAAACAAATGGCAGGATGTAGCATCTATCACCGAACTTTCCGCATTTGAAGATATGAATGTGAAGTCAAAGTCCTTAAAGCAGCATTCTGCCTGAAATTATATGAAACTCAAAAGTTTAATTTTTTTCAGTTACTTGTGATATGATATGTGCTAGTGTGAAAATTCTATTGAGATTCTTGTATTTTTTGTAAGATAAGAAACTTTCTGTATTCATGTAAAACATATGTATTTGCATTGTAAAATAAGAAAAAAAATAGTTTATGTTAGAAGACCGTTCATTAAATAGATTGGTTCAGCCAACACCAGGGATTTAAGTTATTTTTCCTGTTTTTTTCCCCAAAGTTTATCCTTTGTATGGATTAAATGTAGTGAAGTTGTTGAAGCACTAAAATTAAAAATGCTTACATTACAAGCTATTTTTAACAGAACTTAATTGAAACCACATGAGTGAGAGACCTAATTTCAGGTCTGACTGAAAGAAACTCTATACTCAAGGTTTGCTGAAGCAGGGAATGTATAATATGTACAATTAATCATACACTATTAGCTCATTCCTGAATGACAACATTTAATACTATCTGTAGGATTTTTGGTGGTTGTCTTTTTTGGGGGATAGGGGGCATATTATAACTTGTTATGGAATCTTAACAATATCCTTCCTAAAAAGCAGTGGCCATGTTCCCTGTGAACATTGTACACTTGTGAAATTGTTGGTGATAGTTTAACTGTGACTGGTTTGCTAATGTTATACAGAAAAGTATATACATCTAATTTTCAAAGCTGCTTCTCTATGAAAGAAAATCCCAATATTGATTAATTTAAGGTTATTTAACCTGAATAATGTTCTTTTTCTTTTGGGGAGCACACCTGGCAATGCTCAGGGATTACTCCTGCCTTTGCACTCAGGGATCACTTCTGGCTATGCTCAGGGGACCATATGAAATGCTAGGTATTGAACCTGGATTGACCACATATAAAGCACGCACCTTGCCAGTGCTATATTATCTCTCCAGCCCCATGCATAATATTCTTTTTAAATAGCAGTTCTATGAAGATATTCTTATAAATGATTTAACAAGGCCTTAACCTTTGTTGATAAAAGCTATTTGTGATGCTGTTTACATTTTTATCTGGAGATGAAATATGGGAAAGTTGTTAGGAGATCATTAATGATGGAACTGAGACCCAATTTAGACCTATATCAGTACTCAACTAAGTCAGCAACTCTTGTCATAGTTTTAAAAGCAGAACTATTATAATCAGTGGAGAAAGAAGAAATGAAATAGAAGGACTATTCTACATCTGCAAGTTTATATTCCAAGGAACTAGTATAGTATTAAGGCCTTGCACACAGCTGACCTGGGTTTAATCCCTGGCAACACAACAGTTGCTCAAGTACCACCAGGAGTAATCCATGAGCACAGAGCAGGAGTAAGCTCTGAGCACAGCTGAGTATTGACTAAACCCCCACCACCCCTCACAATTAAGGAGTTTATAATCAAAAGGGTAAGAGAAAGAAAGAGAAAAAAATATTGGATGGTTTCTAATCAGATGGTAGGTTACTGTGAGAAAGAATGATACCTGATTCTTAGAGCCTGGTATGACTGAAGGAGATAAACATCTCATAGTTTTGTAATGCTGATAAGGAAAGTATAGCTAGTTCAGAGAGGTAAACAGTTGGCCAGTCAGATATAATTTAGAAAGACAGAGAGTCAGAATTTGACAGCAGGGCTATTTTGAGACTAATAAAGGTGGGATGGAGATGAAATATGGGAATACTATTAGGTCAAGTGAAGGTCAATTTAAAAGTCTCAACTGGTGTCCAGGTCTTGGAGGCTGGGGAGGGGGGAGAGGGCATACATCTATTATGGTAAGAGGAAAGAAGTAAAAACATCTATTCTCAAAGTAGACATAAGAAGTTTAAAGACGACTCTTTTTGGCAAATGGCAGAATGTTGTATTCTGATATTATACCTGAAGATAGGTCTCTGAGAACTCTCAGAGAACTGCTCTGAAAGAGCCTCCAGAAAGGATTGATTTCTTTTGGGGGGAGGGGGGTGAGAGTATTCCATAGTTTGCATCGCATTTACAAAGTAAACTGTGATCTAAAGTTCAGAACGGGATTGAACCCTGTTCAGTATTTCACATACTGAGTATCATTATTAAGCATTAAAATTATACTTCATGAGGAAAAGTCTCCATTTAGGGACAGAGAGATTTCAGTAGTGGAGCACATGCTTTGTATGCTGGAGCTCTGGATTCAGTCTCAGGTCCCACATGGTACCCCAAGCACCATCAGGAATGACCCCCAAACATCAAGCAGAAGTATTCTCCAAGTCCTGCCAGTGTGGTGGCTTAAAACAAGTAAAAGATGTCTTAGTTCATAAGAACTCATAAGTACTCAAAAAATCCAATTAGAAATGGTATAAAAGGTTAGTCATGACATAATTTCCATTAAATTTTTAACTGCAGTACTTTGTTTATGGTTTGACTAGTTATGAATACTCTCTTCATACTATAAATATATGTATGTATATGAAATGTATGTGATATACAGATTATAGATAAAAGCTATTTTCAGCCTCTTTTACTTCTCTCTAATTTCTAACCTGCATTTTAGGATATGCACATTTTAAATACCTCTTGATTCTGCATGTTCTTCTACCTGCCTGTTATGTCCATATTTTCTAAAATCTTTTCCCACTGATTTACTCTTCAACTCATCCCCCATTCTGTCTACACACACACACACACACACACACACACACACACACACACACACACACACACCCCTCTATGAAGTATTTGAAGTATTTTTCAAGTTTCATTCTTTCCCAGCCAATCTAACTGCAGTCTAGTACTTCCTGAAGTTCTCCAGTAAGGAATGTCTTCTCTAAAGTCTTTCAAAGTTTTAATCACATCTCTAGTTTTTTTTCTTTTCCATTTCTTCTGAAGTTTCACTTTCTTTTGTTTTTTTAAAATTTTGGGTTTTTTTTTTAATTTTACTCCAGAACTTGTGTTGTACACTCTCATTCTGTTTTCATCTTGTACAATCTCATCTAATTCAGGTTTTAGTTATCACCTTAGTGCAGTTGACCTTAAATATTTGTCTCTAGCTTCCATAGACAGTCATTATGGATGTATTTGGTGGTTATTTCTGTATCTATTAATTGCCCTTTAAGTTCAAACTAATTGAAACTCAAATTTCTAAGTCATAATTTAGATGGGATTCACCCCAGATTTAGTTCCTGGAGTGGGTATTGGGTGTGTGTGTGGGGGGGCTTTAATTAGGTTAGTTTTTTCTTTTTTCTCTTGAAATCCCTCAATAGACAGCATTCCAGTTTCCTCTGGAGAAAGCTTATAATGTATTTTACATTGTTTTCTTTCATTTTTAAATTGTTGTCTTTTTGGGCCACACCCAGCAGTGCTCAGGGCTTACTCCTGGATGTGTATTCAGGGATCTCTCTTGGCATGCTTGGCGGACCCTATGGGGTGCTGGGGATTGACCCCAGGTTGGCTACACGCAGGGCAAGGACCTTACCCACTGTACTATCTCTCTGGACCCCCCCTCCCGCATTGTTTCCTCAATCTTGATCAACTTTACTACCATATTATGTTACATTATACTCTATTGCTTCTGAGCCCAACATGCGCTGCTCCATCTGTCTGTCTGTCTGAAACATACCCTGCACACTGTTTTCTTTATATACCCAATTTTTTTTGCTTGTTTTTTTGCTTTTTGGGTCACACCTGGCGATGCTCAGGGGTTACTCCTGGCTTTACACTCAGGAATTACTCCTGGCGGTGCTCAAGGGACCATATTGGATGCTGGGAATTGAACCTGGGTAGGCCGCGTGCAAGGCAAACGCCCTACCCACTGTGCTATCACTCCAGCCCCTGTATACCCAATTTTTAATCCCTATTGAGCGATAGCAGCGCGGTAGGGCATTTACCTTATGCTTGCTGGTCTGGCCGAGCCGGGTTCAATTCCTTCACCACTCTCTGAGAGCCCAGCAAGCTATCGAGAGTATCTCGCCTGCACGGCAAAGCCTGGCAAGTTCCCTGTGACGTATTCAATATGCCCAAAACAGTAACAACAAGTCTCACAATGGAGATGTTATTGGGCCCACTCGAGCAAATCGATGAACAATGGGAGGACAGTGCTATTCTTTCATTCAGAGTACCTTCTCTAATTCCCAGAAAAAATTAGTTGTCTTTCCTATTTCCGTTCTTACCCTTTGCTAACCTTTTTTTGTAGGGTTAGAAGCAGCCAGAGTAATCTTTCAAAATTATAAATTGGATTTTTCATTCTCCTGTAATAATCCTCATCACTTTTTAAAACCTCCTTCCACTGACTTTCAAAGTCCTATATAAGCTGGCCTCTTATCTTTCTAATTACGAATCAAACTATTCCAGACTCTATGTCTGTGGCCTTTGTTTTAATTTAGACAGTTCAAATCTATTTCTAATTTTTTACTTTTTTTCTTTATGCCAGAATGTCCTTTACTATCTTTTTCCCGTGACTGGTTTATTTTCATTCTTCAGACCTCAGTTTAAATCCTTATGTTTAGAAGGCCTTTCCTGACCACCTTATCTATTTAGCCCATTTGGCTGCCTTTAGTTGCTTTATATCCTGCTATTTATTTTTTAGCTTCTAGAACATTTTTAGACATTTCTAAACATGTTCAGAGATCACTCCTGGCAGGGGAACATAATGCAAGTGCTGGGAATCTAACCAGGTTGACTGTGTGCAAGGCAAGCTCCTTAACCCCACCTTACCATAATCTCTCTCTGGCCCCTTGCACACATCTTGTTTATTTTGAACTATTAAGAACTATGTGTCCTACAGTAGGGTCTATCTTGGTGAGCCCCAAATCCCCAGTGTCTGAGGCTTTGGAAAAACTCAAGAAATATCTCATATATTAATTTTTCTTGTGCCTAAAATCAATACCATTCTCTGATTATGCTGCAGGAAATACCATTGGCTTAAGTGTTCTTATTTTTGTTATCTTTTTTAAAGGCAATCTCAGCCATGCAGTGCTGAAGATCAAACTCAGGGTTTCAAGACATGGTAGGCATGTGAACTGTCATGTGAGCTCTCTCTTTGCCCTAGTTTGAGTTTTTAAAACTGAAGTATCTTGATTCCATTTAAGTGTCAGGAAGTTTCAGTTGATTTTTTTCTTGTGTATGTGTAGAGATTGAATTGATGGCCTTATACATGTGAGACGTGCTCTATTGCTGAGCACGGATTTACTTTATTATCTTGATTCTGAATGTCATGTTCTGAGATTTATCAATGACAATTTGTTCTAGGAAAATTTAGCACAATTAAGGTTATACCTGTTGGCATGACTGTTAAAGGAAAGAAACTGCCAGTTTTATTGCTCTTTCCCCCTATATTTTGTAACAGTGAATGCTGTAATGAAAAACACCCTTTTTGTGTGTCATTGGAAGCAGATGAGCAGAGACCTTAGGCAACTGGAGTTTCAAGCACAAAAATTTGTAAGTCTACAACTGTACCTCATGATGTCTCACTAATAAAAATTAAAAAAAAAGAGGTTGAATCTTCTACTAGACTAAAGTGTATCCTTCGGTCTTATCTTTATACAGTTCTGATATTCAAATATTATTAATGGATAGTTTACCTTTTTTTCCCCCTTTGCTGACTCCATCAACTTAAAAAAGCTACACAAAGACATCTTATCTTTTCTGTGGCAAGAGATTAAAAAAAAAGTTGATTTTGAACTTGAAAATATTTTTAATTTAATTGGAATACTTTTATACTGTAGTAGCAAACCTTTATAATTTTTGTGATCTGATTCTATGATTTAAGTATTATGCTAGAACATAAAGCAAATGTGAATGATAAATTTAGTTTTTTATCTACCTTTCAAAATTAAATGAGACTACCAAAATGACACCATTACATAATTAGAGAATACTAAAAGTACTTCTTATGCAAGCAGTAATATTCTTTCCTTTGCTATTCATATCCAAAATTATCCATGAGGTAAGCACACAAGGTTAGTATATTTGGAAATTACTTGAGGGGACCTGAAATTATTGTGTCAGATATGGATCAACAATGAGGGCTCAATGTGTTTGGTCTCGATGTAGACAAGCTTGAAACTGTTTTTTTTTTTTTTTTAATGTATATGTAGTTTGCTGCCATTAAAAAACTTTCCAAGGGCTGGAGCAATAGCACAGAGGGTAGGGTGTTTGTCTTGCACACGGCCAATCCGGGTTCTAGTCCCAGCATCCCATATGGTCCCCTGAGCACCGCCAGGGGTCATTCCTGAGTACAGAGCCAGTACCCCTGTGCATGGCCAGGTGTGACCCAAAAAGCCCCCCACCCCCCAAGAAAAGTAAGAAAAAACTTTCCTAGATGATTTATTGATTTATCATTCATTTTTTCACTTAAAGTTTTCATTTTTTGCTTTATAAGGATTTCATTCCACGTCGATATTTTGCATGGAAAAAATATACCATAGACTATCGTGTCATTTTAGAAATCTTTCAGTGTTTAGTACCAGAGTCCAGAATCAAGATTAAGTTTAGAGGTGAGCATGTCGCTCTGATCTGTATTGCCGTTATTTTTGGACCTTGTGCAATGTACATAGGAACGCTGAATGAATCCTAACCTGAGCACCTCAAATGTCAGAGGTGCTTAAGGCTTGTTCCTGGCGGAGCTGAGGGACCATAGACCGTGTCCAGGATTGAACCAGGTCAGCGGCTACAAGGCCAGCGCCTTAACTACTGTACTATCTCGCCGGGCCCCAATTTTTCTTCTTTGGAAATCGTTTTTTTCCGGTCAAAGTCAATCGCCTCCGGTTCCAGTTGCTCTCTCCTTCCCCACCAAGACATTAAGACTGGGCCTCAAGGATGGGAGACCGTTAGATTTTCGGTTCCGCAGGGTTCCCAATTCCCCCCGCTCCAAATTGGGTCTACATTCCGTCGCTTGCTCTTCCCAAGAGTCAAGTCCCGCTCGAGAACTCTGGGCTGGTCTCGCTGCCTCTGTCGAAAATGGCCGCGGCGGTGCGGTCGCGAGGGTCCTTCCTCAGCCCCCGGGAGCGAGTCCGCGGCTCAGGCAAGGGCCGGCCCGTGGCGGGAGCTCCAAGTCCAGCCTAGGCCCGGCCCCACCCGTCCTCTCACGCGCCCTCTCCGCTCTGCGGGCGGCCGGGCTCCTCCGGGAGCCGAGACTCGGTGCCAAGCCGCCCGAGGCCGAGGAGAGGCAGAGGGGGTTGCCCTTGGTGCCCTCAACGTCGCTCGGGGTGGGGGCGGGGGCCGAAAGCTTCTGCACTCCAAAGTCCCGGGCGTCGTCCCCGCGCCACCCCGCCGTCGCCTCAGATAGCAGCTGAGCGCGTCACGGAGAAACACGCCACGGGAGCACGCCTCCCCCCGCCCCCCGCGCCTCTCCCCGCTCCCCGGCCCCCTCCCCCCGCAGCCCCGCCCCTCGAGCTGCCACGTGAGGGACTCCGGGCGCCAGCCTATGGCCGGCGGCCCCGCCCCCCCCCCGCCTCGCCCCCCCGCCCCGCGCGCCGCCACGTGATGCGGCTCACCGCCAGCCAATGACCGCCGGCGCAGCCTCGCGCCCCGCCCCGCGCGCCGTGGCCGTTTGAAGTGACTAATTTCTGTCATATGACTGAGGCGCTCATGGGGGTGGCGGCGAGGCTGTAGGAACGGGGGCCTAGCTAGCGCCCTGAGGAGCGTCCTCAGCCTAGCGGAGGCCAGCATGGCCCCTACGCTGTTCCAGAAGCTCTTCAGCAAGAGGAATGGGCTGAGCGCGCCCGGTCGGGACGCGCGAGACCCGGATTGCGCGTTCAGGTAGGACGCTGCGGGATTGGGGGCGCGGAGCCCGACGGCCTTGTGGACTCCGGGGCGGGGGTGGGGGTGCACGGGGCCTTCAGTGTGGCCGTCTCGGTCGGGCCGCTCGTGGGTCGGCCGTCGGGCGTCGGGAGGGGCTGGACTCGCGTTTGAGGGTGCGCGCGAGGTGCTTTTTTTCCTACCCCGCACCCGCTCCGCTGCCCCTTCCTCCTTCTCCGGGTCGGTTTGTTTACGTCTTGGCGGTGGCCACGCGCGGCCCAGCCCTTCGGGACGGGAACCGTGGCCTGGACTGGGGGTCCACAACGCCTCGCTCTTGGGCTGGTGGGAGCCGGGGCGGGTCGTCCCGCCGCCGCCCCGGGGCAGAGGAGTTCCCCACCTCCTCGCGACCAGTTAGTTGCCCTCGGGGTCTTCCCTCGCAGCCCCGCGGTGGTGTGCAGAGCTGCACGTTAGCCCCGGCTTCTGGCGCTGGAGAGGCTGGGGGAGCTCGTAGGCAAGGCGCCAGTCTTAGGTTTCCTAGAGACCAAAATCAGGGGCGTAGCGGGCCGAGCGGCCTTTTTCTCTTTGCGAGGGAGAAATGTGAAAATCTCCGACGATTTTGGTTCTGGTTCTTACCAGATTGAACAGCCGGGCCGAATCAGACGAGGCATCCACATCCCGACCCTGCGGGTGGTTATTGAAAAGAGTGTTTAAAAATCGAAAACGGTAGCAAAACGTTCTTTAGCTTTGTTAATTTTTGCCTTAAGTATCTGGATCCTGGTTTGAAAAGGAGGACTTTTAAAAAAACGTGTAATGCGTAATATAACGTAAAAACGGAATTCGAGGCAAATTTCGTCGTGGAACTGCGTTTGAAGAAGAGATTATGTCATCCAGACAACCTTCATACTTGTTGCAGTGTGGTAACTTAAATATAACTAGGCGAAATGTCAAATATCACTTAAACCTGGTAGGAGAGCGAAGAGCCCGGCCGTACAGTAACAGTAGGGCAAAGTGGGACTCCAGTTTTGCGCAGAGAAAGATGACGGTACTACCTTGGTTGAAAAGGTTTCGATATTTATAAAATTTCTCGCCCTCTAATGCAGGCCACTTTAATAAACATGCAGTAAAGCATATGGAGTGTAGTGTTAAATGGAAAGAATCACCATCTTAATTTCAGCCTTTTCAGCAAGTGTTTCCTAAGAGAAAGTTTTCCAGGTTTTTGACTTTCTCCTGGGAAATAAATGTCTTGCCATGCTTATCTGTATGTCTTTAAGGGTTTCTATAGTGTTTGGGGCTGGAGCAATAGTACACCGGGTAGGGATGATAGGGAGCTTGCTGCAGCAGACAGGGAGCTTGCATTGCACACGGCCGACCCCTATTGGATTCCTGGCACCCCATGTGATTCTGAAGCCCCACTAGGAGTGATCCCTGAGTGCAAAGTCTGGAGTATGCCCTGAGCAACACTGGATGTAACCCCAGATCAGCAAACAAACTAAAATTTAAATGTTTCTACAATGTTTTTACTTCAAAAAGTGAAAGTTTAGTATAGTGCAGGGGTTAGGACACTTGCCTTGCACTCTGCTACCGGAATTCGATCCTCAGCATCCTATTTGTTCCTGGAGCATCCCCAGGAGTGATCCCTGAACTTCGACCCAGGAGTAAGCCCTGAGCACAGCGGGTGTGGCCCAAATACAAAAAACCAAAACGAAGGCAAACAAACAGCAACAGCAACAAAAAATACCCAAAAGAAATGATAGTTGAAGTAACACTACATTGAGCTGTCTGGTAATCAGTAGGAGAAAGCAGGTTTAGGAGGGGATATTAATTTAAAAGGTGAGATTTGAATGCTCTATTTCTGATTGGCTTTGAGAACTCAAGTTTCCAAGAGTTTCAAGTCACTCCTATTAAGAAGAAACACTTTCACATCTATTTATAAAAAATGTAAAGTCTGCTGTATAGTTGTGTAATACTACTTTTGTGTTCCCAAAGCACTTTCTCATCAGTTATCTCATGTGATATTTCACAACTTTGTTAAGTAGGGCAAGTTACAATATAGATAATTGTGGTCCATTTTCCTCTAGAAGTAAGAATTTTATGTAAGCCCAGAAATTGCATTACAATATATATGATTGCTTTAAAAACAAAATGTAGGTGTTGGGGAAATGTATGGGGGTTCAGGTGCATGTCTTGCATGCTACCTACTTGGATTGATCCCCAGCACTATGTGATTCCCTGCAGATTGCAGGGTGCAAATCTGGAGCCTTCCTCCTCCTCCCCCCTGTACCCCAGTACTGTAATCTCTGGCATTTGTACAGCATTCTTGGGTTGAACTGCCTGTCCAGTTGGCCGGGGATTTCCAGGCATCTCCTGAGCACTGCTTGGGAGCCCCCTCCCAAATAAGCAAAATGTATGCAACTCCGTGTGTGAGAAAATAAAAATTGGTGGACACCTTGTAGCTAGTAATATGCAGCTCTAATCAAGGTTTATTTTTCAAAAGCAGCTTAATTAAGCTATAGTTTGCAAACAAAAAAAAGCCATTTTATATAAGTTTTTGTGTTTTGTTATGTAGAGTCAGTCATGTACTCTCTAGCCACTGTAGTCTTAGAATACTTTCATCATCCAAAACGTTCTGTTATATTGCTTTGCAGTCTTTCTTTAACCCCTCCTCAACTTGTTCTAATCACTGATCTGCTATCTAAAGACAAAAGTTTTGACTTTCTAGAAATTCACAGAAATGTAGTCATACTGTTAACTTATTTGTGTCCAACCTATTTTAACTTACGGCAGTGAATTTGAGAGTCATCTGTGTTGCATTTCCCACTGGTTACTTCCATTTTATTCCCAAGTTGTATTTGGGAATAAAATGGAATATGTATATGTCACCTTTGGTTCATACAATTTCAGTTTGCAGACTTTGGGCTGTTTCCAGATTTAGCCTGTACAGTGTTGCTGGGGACATTGTGTTTCAGTCCTTATGAGGATATATATTTTCATTTATTTGGATGGATACCTAGAAGTGGGATAGCTGGTATTAATACTAAGTATATCTTAACTTTAAAAATGTTGCCAGAGTTTTTCAAAACACTTGTCAGGAGTTCACTGCATGCAAATTGTGTGTTTTTCTCTGGAGCTATAGTCCTGCTCCCACCTCCCCCCCCCTTGTTAATCATTGTTTAGACTTTTTGATTCCAGCCATACTCGTGTGTAATGTATCTTGTGGTTTCAATTTGTGTTTTCCTAATAAATTGAGTTCAGCATCTTTTTATTATGGAACTCAGGTTGTTGAGTAGATTAAGTTTAGTGTTCATTCAGTATACTTTGCTTTCTTTTCTGGAATTCTTGTTAGGTTTGATTTGGTTTTTATCAACTTATGTTGTTAAATTAGACTTGGCATAGTTAGCCATTAGCCTCTGCCATTTTTGACTTTTTTTTTTTTAGCCGCTCCTGGCAGTGCTCAGGGCTTACTTGGGATCACTCCTGGTGTGACTCAGAATACCACATGGGATGCTAGGAATTGAACCTGGGTTGGCCACGTGCAAGGCAAGTGGCCTATCTGCTGTTGTCTCTCCAGTCGTCTATTTTTTTTTTTTTTTGATTGAGGTTCTTTGTTGCCTCTGGCTTTAATGCATTCTGTAAGAATCAGTTTCTAGAATAAGCAGTATACTGATCAAGATGTAGTGGTAGTAACATTTAGAACTGTAGCACTGTCCTCCCATTGTTCATCAATGTGCTTGAGCAGGCACCAGTAACGTCTCCGATGTGAGACTTGTTACTGTTTTTGGCATATTGAATACGTCATGGGGAGCTTGCCAGGCTTTGCCATGTGGGCAAGACACTCTCTCTAGCTTGCCAGGCTCTCCAAGAGGGGTGGAGGAATCAAACCTGGGTCAGCCTCGTGCAAGGTAAACGCCTGATCAGCTGTGCTATCGCTCCAGCCCAGTAACATTTACGCATCTGTTATAGAGGAAATTTTCTATAAAGAAGCAAATTATTCGGCTGGAAAGTTAGTGTAGGGGTTAAGGCACATGCTTTGATCCTTAGCACCTCATGGGTCCCCTGAACATATTGACATGTGGTCCTTGAACAATGCTCTTTTGGTGAGCCTGGGCGATGATGGGTCCTCCACTAGTTGAGAATCACTCTAGGCCTCCTGAGCATCACTTGGGATATAATTTATACTTTATTGAAAACAATGTCAGTATTCATCTTTTATTTCTAATGCATGAACATTTGTTTTCACATTGATTTGTTGTAGGCAGGAATTCTTAAAAACCACCTGATAGGGGTATAGGTGGTTATCTTGCATATAACTGACTCTGGCCATGATTTGGGCTTCCAGAACCCAGCTCGGGAGACCCTCCTTCTCTCCCACCCCCTAGGAAAAAACAAACCATACCTAACAACAAAACATTTTAAAATGATCTCTCAATTGGTCACTCTCCTGTCTTTCCCTGGACTGCTATCAATACTAGTGCTTTTCGTTTTTTTTTTTTTTTGTGTGTGTGTGTGTGTGTGGGGGGTGCTTTTTGGGTCACACCCAGCAATGCTCAGAGGTTACTGGCTCTGCAGTGCTCGGGGACCATATTGGGTGTCAGGGATTGAACCTAGGTTGTCTGCGGCAAGGCAGATACCTTACTTGCTGTATTATTGCTCCAGCCCATAATGTTTTCCTTTTTTTTAAAAAGCAAATTCTGATCTTGATCAGGTCAAATGGTATGGAGTTTAATATCTCCATTATAGAGTTATTTTAAGGATTAAAGAGATAAGTCATGTAAAGTACTTAATACTGTGCTTTGCACATGGCTTTAAGGAACCTAATAGTTACTATGATAAAGTCTTGCTTGTGTGTCAAACCATTCAGCACAAACTTAAAGTGTTGCATTTGTGTTACTTTTGCATTGTTTAGCTTCAGCCTTTATTTTTTTCTTTCCATGAGTTTATTTTTTTATACTTATTATTATGCTTAAGTTGACAGAAATTCCTTAATACTTCTAGTTTCAATCTGTATATTCAGATTTTTTTTT